ACCCTGGGAAACACAGAGTGAAGCACTCTCTCACAGTGTGAACTAACCCTGGTATCCAATAAGGTAAAGAGGTCATTGCTCAAATGCACAGAGAGCAGAGCTCAGACCTGAGAGGGACTTACTCGTGACTCTCAGGGCTCCACTGATGCAGATGTCCCAACTAAGGGATGGAGGTCCCTGGAACTTATCACGTGGGTTCTTGGCTTTGCACTGGAAAGAATTTGAGAGTGAGCCAAGTATTGGCAGAAGATTCATTGAGCTAGAGATAGACCACAGTTCCTACTCCACAGAATCAGGGTCCTTTCCCAAGCAGGAGAGGGACCCCCATGGGGCAAAGATAACATTTGTAAATGTTCAACAAACCCCATTAGGAAATATCTGTACATGACCAGCATTGTCTTGTGATCAGGACATAATGATGAATCATAAACTCTTGTCACAGAAAGGTTAGCACAGTTTGTAAGGCATCGAGCTTAGTAATTTGCCCATCCTTAGATGGTCCTGGCAGGCAACTTGCTGGTGACTTCCATGTTCAGGTATGGTATCAGCCACAAAGGCTGTTCTCAGGCTCTCTCTGCCTTTCTTTTCTACCGTATATCGACACGAGGAAGATAGAACCACCACTGGCCAGGCATGGTGGCTCACGCCTATAACCAGTACTCTGGGAGGCTTAGGTAGGTGGGTTGCTTGAGTTCAGGAGTCTGAGAGCAGCCTGAGCAAAAGCCTTTCTCCACTAACAGGAAAACTAGCCAGTTGTTGTGACGAGCACCTATAGTCCCAGCTACTCAGGAGGCTGAGGTAAGAGGATCACTCAAGCCCAAGAGTTTGCGGTTGCTGTAAGCTGTGATGCCACAGCACTCTACCAAGGGTGATAGAATAAGACTCTATCTCAAAAAAAAAAAAAAAAAAGAGAGAGAGAGAGAGAAGAAAAGAACTCCCCCCAACCCTCAGCAACCCTAAAATGTTAGCAGCCCTCTGCCGTGTCCCTCCAGGGGTCTCAGCGTCATCAGTGGTCCAGCAGTCTCTTTAGGCACTTTCATTGATTATTAGATCTGTCAAAAGACAAAATTACAATCAATTTTGTTTAAAGATGTCAATTGGCTTTATTTGTGATTCTAGAACCAAGCAACACTTCAGTCTGCAAAATAGATTAAGTATTTCAAAGAGTTGAGCAGAAGAGGCCAGTTTTATAGGCAGGTAAAGGGCTAAAGAAAGCAAAAACAAAGAGCAAAAAGCAGCTGAACTCAAATTTGCTTTCCTTAGACGGTGGGAAGTGGAATAGAACAGTAGAGAAATAACTGCCTGGTTAACACCAGGGTTATTCAGGTAAGGATTACAGCAGAGGCAACCTCATTATCATGCCACGCGAAACTGGCCTGTTTGGGAAATTAGGCTGTTATCTCTCCTGAGTTCTTATTCCTGATTTTGAAGGTCCGTTAATAATTTTGGTTTGCTGATGTAGAAATTTAGCATGAGTGACACCATTTTGATTTTTAGTCTGGTCTCCTGGTGCCACATACAGAAGTTTAGTCCAAAACAATGACCTGTAATTTTTATTTAACAGCCCTCTGGATTCTCAGTTCTGCCCTCTGAGTCATCCTTCATTTTTAATAAAGCACAGCACGTTTGCCAGAAACTAGTCCTACCATCCTGCTTTTTGTCAGTAGACTTTGGGGGCTTTGATGGTCTCCTTTATTTTTGTTCCCTCTCTGTTCCTTTCATTCCAAGTTGGCAGTGTTTCTGCTGAAATAAATTTTTCAGAATCTTTTTGAGTCCTCTGTGGATTTCACAGGGTTTCACTCCTTTATAAAAAGGACAAATCCACAGATCTTTTTAAAGTAATCCCTTTTCCATCTTTGGTTCATGCTAAAGTAGCTTAGGGACATTGCTTTTAAATTCCTAGAGGCCCTCTGGTTTGATTGAAAGGATCCGTGAGGCACATCCTTCATCGCTTGAAAGGGATCTTTGTGTGAACGCATAACATGAGCTCCTCATCTGAGGTTTTAGCAAAAGGTTATACAGTCACACTCTCAACCTTTTCTATAGAGCCTGCTTTTCTGACAGTGATCTCTTAATTTTTAGGGTGTTTTGCTCTCTCGGAAATCTGAGAATTTTTAAAATCAAGTCTTATTTCCTTTTAGCGTAAGTTCTTCCATTAATTTCTCTCTCTCTCTTGGGTTTTACTGTAAGTGGCAAGAGGAATCCAGGTGGCATTTTGTAACTCTTGCTTGAAAATCTCTATACCATTGCTTACAAGTTTTGCTTCCCATGATTTTGCTAAGTTTTCTGCTCCCATAATGAGGATTTCTCTTCCTCCAATTTCTGATATCACGTTCCTCATTTGCATTTGCACTCTCACTGGCAGCCTCCCTGGGGCAGCATCCTTAAAGTCCAGCTGTCTATTCATTAAAGGCATTCTAGGCCTTCTCTTTGATGCTACCTAGATTCTCCTAGTGTTCAGTTTTGAAGCTACTTGCACATTTTAAATACTTCTAATAACACACGATACTTCTAGGTACCAAACTCTTAGTTTTCTGTTATTGTAAAACAAATCACCACAAATTAAGTGGCTTAGAATAACAAACATTTGCTATCTCACAGTTCCCATGGAATCTAAGCCCAACTTAACTGGATTCTCTATGCTGGTCTTACAATGCTGACATCAAGATACCAGCTGGGATGCATTTACATCTAGAGGCTTAATATGGGGAATAATTTGCTTCCAAGCTAGTTCAGGTTGTTGGCAACGTTCATTTCCTTGCAGGTGCGTGACTAAAGACCCAGCGTCTTGCTGGGTTCTTACTTCTATCTGCCTCCTGACGTCCCCTTAGTTCCCTGCCACATGGCTCTCTCAACATGGCAGCTTTGAATTTATCAATTCAGTTGGTTAAGACTGAGTTGTACACATTTTAACCTAATCATAGGACTGACTTACTATCACCTTTGTCAGATCCTACCGGGTCAGAAGCCAATCAGGAGTTCTATCTGCACCCAAGGGAGGGGAATATACAAGGGTGTGACTCCCTGGGAGGCCCCTCAGGTTACGTATCCCACAGGTGGTGTAGTAGACTGAAGAGTGGCCTCCAAAGGTATCAGGTCATAGTCTCTGGAACCCATAAATGTTACTTACTTGAAAAAAAGAATCTTTGAAGTTGTGATTAAGACTGTGATGTTCACTAGGGGATGGGGCACTAAGTACAATCACATGTATCCTGACAGAAACAAGGCAGGGGAAAATTAGACTCATCCATGGAGGAGAAGACCATGTGATGAGGGAGCAGAGAGAGGTTGGAAGATGCCTGCCTTGATCAGGGATTGTCACAGCGCAGCTACAATCAAGGAATGCTGGAAGTCACCAGAAGCTAGGAGAAGCCAGGAGCAGACTCTCCCCTAGAGCTTTCATAGGGAGTGCTACCTGCTTGTAGCTCAGTGATACCAATTTTGCTCTCCCTAACTGGAAGACAGTCCACCTCTATTGTTTTAACCCCCCAGCTTGTTATAATTTGTTAACAGCCACAGGAAACTAATACAGATGAGTATTAAATGATACGTAAATGTTGCTTTGCTAATGCAATTTATACTGATTATTCAGTGAGGCTAAGAATCTTTTCATAAGGTTCTTGATTATTCCAGTGTTTTCTTCTGTGAGTATTCCAGCTTATATGTTTGGTTACTTTTTCTTTTGTCCTTATTCTCTTTCTTAACAATTAGTAGGAGTTCTTTGCATAGCATAACTACTACTCCGATGTCAGTTACACATGCTTATCTTCTGAAGATTAGCTTTTTGCTTTGTTCATGCTGTGTCCTGTAGATTTGTTTTCAACTATTTTTATTATGGAAAATTGAAAACCTACCAAAAGAAGAGAGAATGATGTAAATAGAATAGACCTTCGACATGCCCATCCCTCAGCTCACTGATTATCCAAACTTTTTCTCAGCAGTATTTATTTTTTCCTTTAAAGTTTGTACTTTTTATGCATTATCTTTATATAAAGATGGAGTAGGTGTAATATTATTTGTGTGGGTGAATAGTTATACCGTGACGGCACTCATTCTTTTTTGCTTTTACGTAAATGTTATCTTAGGTGGAACAGTTTTTAATATATTCAAAACATTTCTGGACTCAGTGCTCATATCTTCTTCCTGAACAGTGTGTTCTTTTCTTATTTGGGGCAAGTTATTGATTCAGATCTTGGGAATTCACCGATCGTATCAATAATGTCATGCATGTTACCATAGAGCTTGTTGGAAATCCCATATAAGAATTAAGAAGGCAAATCATTCAGGACATTTCGAAATCTATATGAGTCAGCTGTGCAGGAATTTTTGTTTTTCCTAAATAATTCCTCTCAATTTTTTTTTCCTGATTTCTAGTGTGCCATCTGGACTCGAAGGCATGAAAGAACAGGACCTTTGCAACAAAATAATGGCAAAAATCCTAGAAAATTATACTACCTTGTTCGAATTAGAGTATACAGGAAATGATAATCAGAGATGTGAAAACCTGGCAAGGCTTATCATGGTAAAAGTAAGTAACTTTGTATTTAATTTTTAGTATTGCTGTAATTTTAGGCAGGAGATTTCATTTAAGTTATTCTTTGTCATAAAAATTCCATATGGATATAACTTCATCTTGTTATGCCTGTGTTGAGTTCTTCTTAGGAAAATATTCTATCAGATGTTTGTTAAATCAATATATATTCTTCTAAGATTGAAGGATAATAGCAATTGTATGTTTCCTTGTTGCTATAGAATTGTTTCTAAAGCGCTCACGTGAGCCCAGGGTTAGTCAGTTGGTTGCACCACCCTTTTTATGGGAGCTGATGTTACAGCACATGGCTGTGTTCAGGAGTGCTAGCTTCCTAACTAGATAAGACAAAGGCAATCTTGCTCTGTTCCTCCTGTGTTCAGCACACTCTGAAGCTTAACCTCTGATTTGAAGTCTAATATATTAGTCCATGGTTAATAAAGACGAGCATTTTAACGAGCTGTAAAGGAGTCCTTGACGATACACTCCAAACCTTTGTATGTGTTGACTGATCATTTATAACTTATTCTTTACATTAGGTAAACACCTATAGGTCTCTAACAACCTACAGCTGAGAACCAGAGGGTAAACATCCAAACCAAATCCTCTAGATATGGGATAAGAAGGAAGGCACCTTATTTCTTTCTCATTTATATGGAGTTAAATCAAAATGGAGCTGATATAAGAGATTTTCTTAGGAGGTTACCTCAGATTTCTGGGACTTACTGAACACATCATACTCTTGGTGATTCCTGTGACAGTGAATGATAAAGGCAGAGGTGCTTGGTGGGTACGGGAAGGAAGGGTATTTTCAGCGTTTCTTACAGTTGAGGCCATGACTTTGAAGAAGGAGAAAAAGGTAATGAATGGGTATCAAGTAGCAGCCTACCAAGGCAGGAAAAGAAGACAAAAGCTAGGTTTTCTGAACTAGAGCTTACGTTATGATACAACAGACCCCCTATAAGGTACAGAGAAGGGAGAGAATGCTTTTAGCAGGCATCTTTCCAAGGTGATGATAAAGAGAACTTTAAACTGAAATTTGAGGTAAGGGAAGAACAATGCTGAGATAAAATGAAATAACTGGACAATATCAGATGTAACCTAAATTAAGGGTAAAACAGCTGATAAAAATCTGTCATTGATTGGCAGAAAATAAGATCAAAAAGTTTTAGTTTTACTACAGAAAAATTCAAATCAATGATTTTTTCTTTTTTAATTAGATAACAGCTTTATTATATAATAGGTTTATAATTCATATACCCCATAATTAGTTTATTTCAAATGTGCAATTAAATGACTTTTAGTATAATTACAGGATTGCACTACTATTACCACAATTTTAGAACATCATCAGAACTCCAAGAAGAAACACTACACCCATCACCAGTCACTCTCTATTAACTCCAAACACTGCCAGCCTGAGACAATTGCTAATTTGCTTTATGTTTGTATAGATTCACCTGTTCTGGACAGTTCTGTACATGGAGTCATACCATATGTGACTAGTTTTTTTT